TGTTTTGGGTTTAGTATGAGAATAATGTTGACAACACACAGCTTTAGCTGTTGCTCAGTAGTGCTCACTCAGTCAAGGACTTTTCAGTGTCTCATGCTCTGCAGGGAACAGGTGCACAGAGAGCCAGGACAGCTGACCCAAACTGGCCAAAGGATATTTGAAACTAAAGGACAGAAGAATAAGCACTTTTCTTATTTTTAGACACACTGAATTTTTCTATAGCAGCAAAATAGTTTCACTGGTTCAGATATCAGTTTCTCCTGCTAGCAGCACCAATCTTCAGTTCATAAAAACATAATGTCTTGGGTTACAATGTAAGATGTAACCAAAAGTACATATTCTACTACCATCTTCATAAACTGTTAAAACAGGTTGGGCAGTGTTCTTTGTCTTCTCCATGAGTCAGCCCTGATAACTCCCTCCGGGGAGCAGCTACCACCCTGAGAGAGCCATCTCCACTATTGGACCATCAAGGTACAAGCATGACTCACAGAATTACAGCATCCCATTGTGAGATGCCCTGAGGAGAGGAACCAAGTATTCCTACCTGTATATAATGTGAGGTTTGGAACACCAGGGCCAGCACCGACCACTGAATTCCCAGAGGACAAGAGCTAAATAACCATCACTGGACCTCCAGAGAAGGATCAGATCTTTCTACAGGATCACTGCTGACAAAAACCACATCCCTCACTCCAATCAGACTGCAGTCACCATTTAATCAGACTGCTACCACCACCCTGACCAACAGGGTGTCAGGTCGTATTCTGACTGTCAGTTGAAGCCAGTGTTTCTGTACCATTGCCTTTATTGTAATTTTCCTATTAAATTCTGACTTGGAATCTGTTGCTGGTTTGCTTACAAACTAGTACATATAAGAAATCCTGCTTTGCTAGATAAGGTGTGATTCTGATGAAAGGAATATGTCCAAAAATAAAAGCCAGATTGTACATATTTTCTGTTAAATAGGTGCATATAAACTATGGGTTTTATTTCAACTCGCACACAACTCTGTTAAAACTAGCACTAAATATTACAAAGTATCAATTTTATTTTTAGTAAGATTGTGTTCCAAATGGGTACAATAAAAATTCCTTCCACCACCACCTTTGCAGGCAAACTTCTGCACTAGGCTTCTGTCTGTGAAGAGGGAGAATCTGTGTTGTCACTCTCACAATCAAACAAAGCTGCCCAAGGACAGACTGACATTATATCCATAGCGCCTGCACAGACATCAAACATGGACTTAAACACAAGCAGGAGAAAGCATCTGCCAGGGGCTGAGCTGCAGAGCTGGGAGAACAGCTAAGACATGCCACAGGGCTATGGGAACCTTTGGGATGGAGGGCAGAGGATGGCTGAAGCCTGCAGAAACCTCAGCACAAGGAGCTGCAACCCCAGGTCAGCCCCTGCCCAAGCTCCACAACCTCATGGTGGGATAAAGAATGCACCTGCCCACAGCAGCACAGCCCCTAGGAGCAAGGAAAGGTTCTGGAACAGAAAAGAGGTATCAGTGTTCTCTCACCCTCAAACACTGAAAGAGGACACATTAGCAGCATTAAAAAAAAAGGCATATTTGAAGCTTTTTTTCTCAAAGTTGCTTAAATTATCTGACAGTGCCCTCTCTTTTAATGGGTCATCATATCCTCCCTTAAGGCATTTCATTAGTTCGGTAAATTCCAGTTTGCAGTGCATTATTTTAAAGCAGACTGACAGCTTCACAGTAGGGTAAACAGCTTTCAAGTTTTACACAGCAAACAAGTTTTATGTTGGTAATTGAACACTCTGGATCACATCTGCAGTGCTTCCTTGACCAGAGGCAGCAGGGCTGGCAGGGCTGTGCCCCAGCCCCATGGAATTCATATGTGGAATACAGGGTGCTGCATTGTCTTAGGCTTCACATCCATTCATTTGCTACTTCTCACACACAGAAACTTAAGCACATAAGACTGTGCCTAGTAAGTAAACATAATGATCTATAATTCAATATGCAATTGTATAAGCAGCTACTGATGTTGAGGCCTGGGGTATGTCATAGCCTCCAGCTATTCCACTTTCTGGAAAAGCTTTGCAAACAAAACTTAAAGTCACCTTCACATGAAGCAGATACTTACCTCACACTATCCTTCTTTCTTCTTGTTACCACATGTGCCCACATAGCTGTTTTAGCACTAAATCAGCAATTCTTCTCTCTTTCCAGTGTGTTCTCTTCAGTGTAAAATTTAGACTTGTTCCTTACCCACATCCCTGCAGCCTCTCCTCAGCCCTGGTTAGCTTTTTCTTGGCCTCTTCTGTCCTGATGCCTCCTCTCACTCCTCTCCCATACTCCTCAGCTTTCTCTCATTACTAAAGTAGGAAAGAATCTTCTTCATGTATTTTCCCCACTTTGCTATAGCTAAATCAGTGGGATTTTAATCCTTGAAAAAAATTGTCTCTCCATATTCATAAGCTTTATAAACTAGTGCCACACTCGCTATTCTGTGATGGATACAATAGCATTTTATCCTGCATTGCAATTGTGACAATAAGGCAATTCCTCACTAAGAAAAATACAGTCATCCAAAACATAGGAATTTGAAGTAAACACATGAAACTGTTCCTTTTACAGCTGTTATTTTTGTGAGCACTGCCAGACATGAGATACAACAAAACACAGTATCTTTTCATAGCCATCTGCCACACTCCAACTTTCCTTCAAATAAGACCCAGGCAGGAGAGTATGTATAAATACCCATAAGAAGATGCAACTCCGCAGTTGAACTATTCTACTTCAGCCTCTACCAGGAAAGCTGCAAGCAAATTATGAGCCTAAACTCTTAAGAGTGTTTCAGGGGTTTAGGAGGGTGTGAGGGTGAAGAGGGCAGGCATTTCTTTGGTTGATTGGTTGGTTAACGGGTGTTGTTTCCTGGTAAAAACACGCGGCAGCAACTACACTTGGAGGATCTCAAAGTTAATTCTACAAAATCTTATATCTGCTTTTTACAAAGCAGGGTTACCCACATTCATGAACTTATTTATGACAATGAAATACTATTGGAAGAGAACATCTCAGAGTAAAAGAAAAATGAAAGGTTCTGAACGTGTTCCAAACTCCCCAAACAGCCCAACAACTTCCTATTCACAAGATGCAAAACATATTTCCAGGGATGAAAGAGAAATAAATTTGTAGTGTAGAAAAGCCCTTGATAATTTCAAACTCTAGTTAGAGAGTAAGAATTCCATTTGGTTGGGTTTTTTTTTTTCTAATCTGGAGAATCTTAGTGACAATACAACTATGCAATTTTATTTTTTTTAATCCAGAAGACACATTAAGTACTGGAGAATCTGCAAATCCAAATCAGAAACTCTGCAAAACACCAGTTTATTCATAAAGACTTGATTTGCACATTCTCAGCACTTAGCTTTCTTTGAATGGTATGACTAAAGAAACTGAAAACGCTCTATCAGTATTTCTATAATGCAATTTAATACATGACTCCTCTCTGCTTTTACAGGGATTAGATAGCACAACCTCTTTACACACTGCATGGATTTGAAGCTCCAGCTTTGCAAATAGATACAACCCTGAGCATCCCAAAATGAAAGGTAATAATGTATTTGCATTTCTTTCCAAGCTTAATTCTTTTACTCCTTTAACTTCAGAATGATTGAGGAACAAGCCAGCTGCAGGTAAGCTGGCTGGTTTTCAGTTTACAAGTGCATTGCACTTCATGTATTCTTCACCTTACCTGGCATTTTATTTTGCTGACAGTTTTTTAACAGAATGCAACTTAATTATACTCAGCATTATCTGATCAGCAGGAGTTTGCTTCTTTGAAACTTTTTTTGTCCATTAAATGTATGAACCTGGCCCTTTACCTACCTTTACAATCTGCAATGCTTAATTTAACAGCCCATATTATTCATTATGTTCACACTCAAAAAGAAATGTAATCTCAAAATGATTCACAGATGTTCACAGTTGCCCATATAATGAGCACTCAGAAAACTAACAAAAATTGATTGTGCCCTGGGAACTAGTGTACAACACATCAACTATCTGTACAACCTGAGTCAGTCTCCAAGCTCCATACTGGTGGCACAGCTCAGCCTTTCCATTTCTTATTCTGAACCACTCTTCAAAAGGGTGATGGCACAGGATCAGCACAGAAGGAACAGCTTTGGGTGTCTCTGTTGTAACAGACACACACCTAGATCATCTCTCATCATAGGTAAATCTGTTTTCTGCTTTAAATTTGAGTTCTGTGTGGGATGGCAACTAAAACAAAGACCACCTGGCCAAAGAACTCACAAGAAGGGATAAGAGTAGAAGAGAATGCCACAGGAAAAAAGAAATAAAGCATTATATATCAAGCAGTCTCTTAGTATAAAGTTAAGCTGACTTGCAGCAAAATCAGTCAGGCAAGACTCCGGGTGCCTGAAGAAACACTGACAAAAGAATGTTCCTGACCTTTCAGGGGACTTTGCCCTGGACCAGATGCTCCTGAAGATTGAGAAGATCAAGGCAGCTCAATACCCTGTATTGTCTCAAGCACTGCAGCTCTCTGTGCTCCCGAGAGCAGGAAGTAATTTGCTGTAGAATCTCTTTCTGACTAGCACTGCTTCAAAGCAGACAAGAGTTATTCCCAGAGCATGGATTTGACCAGACTGTCAAACAGAGGATAGCATTCTACTAAAGCCATAGCCTGAGCTTGTCAGCTCTCCCAGAGCGGGGGTACAGGCTCACAAAAGGAGGTAGGAAGGGTCACAGAAGGAGGCAGGGAAATTCAGAGCCTCCCTGTGCCCTCTCCACAGGGACACAGCACTCAGCTGGGACATGGTGAACTGGTTTCTGTTCCACCTCCTGATTGCCAAGTCACACATGCCTGCCTGCCTTCCAGAAAACACCTTTAATTGGAAGGTGGGACCTAAAGAAATTCTGAACTGGTAGTGAGTCTTCACATTTTGACCTTGATTTTATGCTTTGAATAACCTTCCCATCACCTTTATTTTCCAAGCACCTTCCCACTGGGTGGCTGTAGCATATGATGGTGACATTTGCTTTCTATTCCTTCTCTCAAAGCTGTTGTACATTGTAGAACAGTTTTCAGAAAGAGAGGGAACAGCATGGGGCAGAGCTCTGCAGGCCTAGAGCACTAAGTACAGAGGGCTGCACTTTACACACCCTACTCCAAGGCCATTTACAAATATCATATATTAATTTATATTTGGACAAAAGAACACTTTCTCATATCTTAGACAAAAAGTCTCCATAATTGGCTCTAGAACCTTACCAAACACTCCAGGTCCTACCAGAGTACCAATTATAATAATAATGCCAGTAGTGGCTTCACAACTCCAGTTCAGCCAAGCAGCATACACTTACAGCTTCCCAACACTGTTCTGAGGATTCCAGCTCCAGTGTGCATCTATTCAATTCCAGCCAGGATTATGGTAGACAATTCCAGACTCTGTCTAATAATTAAATCAAGACATGGTATTTTGCTCTTCCTGACTATGTCAGACTTACTGGGAGTAGTTGCATCCAGGCTGCATTAATGCTCCTGATTTCTTCCTAATCTGCCTCAAAGGACACATGCACATAATACCAGACTTCAGCATGCTCATATTAGAGCAAAGGCTAAGCATCTATTTATGTGGGATGATCTTCTTAAACCAGGGCCATATCTTTTATGATAAACATAGACTGAAGTCCTATTTCTGATGCTTAAGCGCCGTCCTAAGCATGGAGGATAGATATAACTGCACATTAGAGTACTGCTGTGCTCACAGGGACTTTGTTTTCAGACGTCATGTCCAGCAGTCCATACTCAGGAAGACAACCACAGGTATAAGAGAAATCAGCCATCCTTTCCACAAGCTGCCTGCCTAGACCATGTGCAGAAACTCAATACCACCACATCTGCTGCACTCTGAGTATAATTGCTATAAATTGAAAATAACAGCATTTCCTTTCTACATTGTTTCAGCCTCAATAGCTGCACAGAGACCCGAGATTGAAATCAAGAGTTGTAGATGAGAAATTTAGATATAATTGAGCGTGAAGCATCTCATTTCAGAGAAATTGTTTTGCTTTAATGCATACAAGTGTACTGGTAAAAGATGCTTTGAATTGCAAAATCCAATCAATGAAAGAGTAAAAGAAATTAGTTACATTTTGCAAAACACATAGGAAAAATGTTTTCTATTGAGTAAAAAGAACATTTCCTCTCTCATGAAACAGAAGGTTTTTTTAGTAACTATTCTATGGTACATAAATCACATTCAGGCTAAAAGTACATGTATTACAAGAAAGAATTTCAGTAGCCAGTAGAGCTCAAGAAGTTCTTACCTTTGCTGAATAGCTAATTAGAGCACTCATTTATCATTCAAAAAGTCTCATAAAAGGACAAAAAGGGAAGAAAACAAAAGAAACAATAAATACATGTAGTGGTGAGACAGCTAATAAGCTACGTCCTAACTTGAATTTAGTACATCTCAAAATTTAATGCCAAGGGAAACAGAGTAAAAAGACCATTGCAGGGAGGTTCTGCAGCATGGCTCAGGAGGTGCAGGGATCCTCTTGGGAGCTCATAAGCAGCCACTGTGCAAAAAGACAGTAATTTCACTGAGTTTTACCTCTGCCATATTGGGACTGGCAGGATTTTGTGATAAGCTGATTAAATTAATGAACTGTTTTACCTAGGGCTCATTTCTTTTTAGACAACTATCCACTTAAACGAAGAGCTCTGTGACGGTACCAGTGGAGTTTCAAAGCTCTCACTGAAAGGATGTTCCTGTGCAAGACTTCACTGAAAACTGAGAGTTGCTATCCCTAACATACAACATGCAACCCAGAAGTTTAATGGTTTGAATCACCAGTGCCTTCACCTTCCCTTCTACTTTTTTGCTATAAGAAACATTGCCCAGAGTATCTTTTGGGAGAGTTTGTTGGGCAAGATGCCCAAGTTTTGGTAGATAATAAAAATCAGTTCATATAAACACATCTTTGAGATGTTCTAATATCTCTGTAATAATCTAGGTAGAAGAAAGGGGCCAGAAGAAGCAGGAGGGAAGGAGTCAACATATGAAACATTTTGAAAAAATGTTAGAGTCCTAGAGCAAGAAAATAAATAGAAATGAGCTGAAAAGCTGAGAAGCACATGAGCAACTGCCCCATTCCCTTTTCTGATAAACTGTTCTGGTGGTGACACTGCTGGAGAGCACTGATCAAATCTGCAGGATTTGCAGGGCAGCCTGGCAAATTGTTCTCTGTAATGGAATCCATTATAAAAATATGTGCACCTAACCATAAAATTCTGACTGTAACCAACAATCTTTTATAGAAAAAAAGTAGCAATGAGAATTTATTAACTCAAATAAACAGCATACACACCTGCAAGCTGCTACAGCTACATAATCTATTGCATTGTAACTGAAGACTATCCAACAAGTGCTTGTTATCTCAAGCCATGTAAGTACTACAAATTCTAGACCTAAACCAGCTATTTGTATGGTATCAACATATTAAACTCAGGGCTGCTTTGGAAATCCTTATTATAGAAAGACTGATTTATCTAGTGTGTAAGCAACAACTCAATATAATGGCAAGCATAAAGCTAACAATATATTTTGCAAGATTCACTGTATGTATGATGTGATACAGTTTTTAAACATGCTTACCACAGTGTGGCTCTAATGTAAAATTTAGACAATGACCATTAATTTTGTGAATGCAAAAATCTTCTACGCCCTCCCAGTTTTTCTATTTCTTTTTCCTTTAAAAAGACTGGATAACTTGTTAGCCAGTCATATCTCTAGGGAAAAAAGCTCTTGATTCATAAAACCTCTACCAATAATTTGACACCATTTAGCAATTTCTGCTTATTGAAGCTGAATTAATTCACGAAGTACATGAATTACAACACTTGTTATTTGACCAGCAAATGTGCCCACACAATCACTATTGAGGTCAATGAAGGGACACTAACAGTGCCTACGAGTTATTCGTTTGCACAGAAAAATTTCCACCTCAGTTTCTCTAAGCCCCTGAGTATAAGTATCTGAAATATATGGAAATAAAAAACAAATGCAAAATAAAATTATCAAGGTGCAGTGTCCTTAACTATTCAGAAGTGAGGAGACAGTTTTGATTGAAAATAGAATTATTTTAGAGTGGTTAGCATTATTCAATATGAAGTTTTATGACTTTTTAGATGCACAAATACCCATGACTGTCTTGGATATAGACCAGGTGTTCAAGTATCTCCCTCTAAACTATGAAGTCCTCTTGTCTCTTTCTATCTCTTCTGTAATAAATTTCTAATTCTGATTCACAATATCCATGGAAAGATCATATTTTTGATGAAGGATGTTATGTTTCATGCAACAATAGGATATGGCAGACAACAATAGCATCCCTTCAGTAAATGCTTTATTGCTATACACTTTAATTTTTTTTTTCTGTTAAAAACTTAGCACAAGTGATTTAATACCACTTTTGGTTACTTTAATTATTTAACTGTAAAATAAACTTTTCCTGCACTTGTGTCTGAGCCTAACCTTCCCCACAAATTGCCAAACTGCAAATTCTCTGTAGTTTATTTTTCTTAGTTGTAGATAACTGCTACATCAATGAAAAATGACATAATGAACTGAAAAGATTTTTGTTACTTTATAATAGACTATTCTTCTGTCCATAATATGTTGTCTTTACAGCTACAGATTAGCACCTACACATATCCACCCACATGCCAGGCTGAAAAGGGAATGAGGGAAGGAGAACAATGGATATTTTGGGTATTTGCCAACAATGGATATATTGCCAGCTAAGAAAATGCCATGAGTAGAAGGCAGAGCAGGAAGCTCTCTTCCCAAGTGAGGATTGAGGCAAGATCAATCTGCTTCTTGAAATACTGAGGCCTTTCACACAAATGAAAAACAACATCAGCACACATCTTGGGAAAATTCCAAATAGAACCTCCCCACAGCATGGCAATGCTTAACACATACTCAGTTGAAACAACTGCTACATCATGTCCCTGAGGCAACAAGAAATCAGCAAAGGTAAAACAATTCTTTTGTACACTATATGGTTTCCATCTGCCTAGAAGGTATGTGAAAAATGAAAGCTGTTGTCTTGTTTTAATTGTTATGAATGATTTTGATCAAACACTTATTGAACAAACACAGGTATTGTCCTACAACGCTAACACACAGACTATTCTCTATTTCTTTAAGAAAATTTTAATAAATATTTAAATCAAATGAGATGCAGAATGTCTCTGTTTAGTGCAAGCCCCCAATTTCATATTGAAATGCATCAATTTTGGTGCACCAGGCACAAACTACCCTTTTCTTTAACTGCCTCAGCAGCAAAAACATGAGAAACGTGCTCAAGTCTGGAATGTTATAACTCAACAGGAAGCAATGTGCCTTGTGCTGATGCAGGGGAGGTCATGGACTGGGAAGAATATTTTTAAAAAATCAATCCTCTACACAAGTTCAAGAGTGTAAGGGGAGTAATGTAAGAGCTTTAAAGTCTTCTAGATCTATAATGTTTGTGTAGTGAAGTGAAAGGGCAGGAAGGTAGATTATTACACACAGAAAGGGAGTTTTATTTGGTTAAGAATTACCAAAATACCCTGTGTGAAAACTATTCAGAATCTTAGCCAAGGAGTTAAAAAAAGCAAGGCAGCCATCACATGATTTTTGGAGAGAGTTTCTCAAACATTGAAGGGCATGCAAGTCACCAGGTAAAGACAAAGCACAGCCATGACAATAGGCAATTTAATTTAAGGTTTACAATTGGATGGAAACTCAAAGGTGCCACAACCAGGCGTCCCCATTTTGTGCCCTACTACAAAGAGGTGTAGCAATACTGAGGTTCTCCTGTCTCTCTAAAACCAGTTGTGCTGTCAGACACTAAGGGTCAAGGGGCTGGTGCTCAAGCATCCATTTCCCTTCCCTCACTGGAGCTGACCTATGCTATACTTCCTCTTGTTTTGCATCCCTTTCTGCCTGGTTGC